TGGCTCACACCTGTAATATTCAGAAGGCTAAAGTGTGAGGATTGTGGTTCAAAGCTGGCTCTGGGCAGAAAAGTCTCCAATTAACTCTTATCTCCAGTTAACCACTCAAAAACCAGAAGTGGTGCTGTGGCTTAAGTTGTAGTGTGCTAGGCTTGAGCACAAAAATGGTCAGGGACAATGGCCAGGCCCTATGTTCAAGCCCCACAAGCAACAACAACAACAAAAAAATCAAGTGTACAGTCAGCTTTCAGTATCTTCAGGCTTTACATTCAAGGATTCAACCAACAGTGGATAAAAAATAAATTTTTAAAAACCATGTCTATACTAAACATTATTGTCATTATTCCCTGGAAAATACAACATAACCACTATTTTAATAACATTGGCATTGCATTATATTAGGCATCTTAAGTCATCTAGAGAGGATTTAAAGTATAAGGGAAGACATGCTTCAGTGACATGCAAATACTCTATTATTCATACAAGAAACTGAAACATCTGTGAATTTGGTATAGAATGCCAAGAATGACTGTAACTTCTTCCATATGCCAGTACTTCTCAATGTAGATGGGGACCGATGATAAATGTGAGCAAGGCCTGGCACTGGTGGCTCAGCCTGTAATTTTAGCTACAAAGGAGACTGAGATATGAGGACTGGAGTTCAAGACCAGCTCAAGCAGACAAATCCTTAGACTCTTACCTCCAATTGACCATCAAGAAACCAGAAGTAGAGCTGTGGCTTAAGCATTAGCATGCCGATCTTGAGCCCCAAAACTACGTGAAAACAAAAGGGCCTAAGTTCAAGCCCCAGTACTGGTTAAATACATAAATAAGCAAATAGATGAAGACATAAATAAGCGTGAGCAAGGCTCAGGCTCCCTCACCCTGTACACATCACAGAGAACACCAGAGAATAGAGCCATGGTTCTACTTTCAATGATTTCTGTTCCCCACTTGTTCCACCTGCAAAATTTGAGCACTGCCCTGGATTGCTAATTAATAACACTAGAGAAATCTGCAGAGAACTCTGGTTGGTCTAGTCCTCTACGGGGGTACCATTGAGGCCTGGCTGTGGGAGAAAGTGCTGATATGAACTCCCACCAGATGACTCAGAGGACTATTGCCCTTTGGACCTCAGCTCAAGAACTGTGAGATTTCCAGACAACCTGTTTGTCATCACACAGAGAGCAAGATACGGCTACCTTCTTAGCCATTCACCCACTGAGTATGATAATAGACCATCCGGCTGACCTTTAGAAAGTTCTACTTATAAAGCAAAAGTTCCACTGTTGTAAAAGTGGTCGATCACATCGTGGCATGGGGGATTTTGTAATCATAAGTAACACAGGGAGGCCCCCTCCTAGGGCTAATTTAAATGGAAGAGCAAGTAATAGTTCACTTGGGCACATTTTCTAGTTTTTAAAATGCCATTTCTTTTCTAGCAGGATCAATTTCTAGGCTCTTAACCCAGCACTCACCAGACATTTTTCTTGTGGTTTTGTTTATTCTGGTTGTTACTTAAGTCTCCCCAAAGGGAAGCTCCCGACCATGGCATGAGCTTGGAGCCCCGTGGCCTCCCAAGCAGGCTTTGTGGTGGTTGAGATGGGGGCTCTTCCCACTGGGAGGAGAGAGTTTCTGGAGGTGCTTAGGCCAGGACTGGTACAATGTGTAAATTTGATGTAAGTGTGTAAATTTGAAGACTGGCAGTCCCATGAGCCTCATTTGTAAAAGTTATGTGAGAGAAAGTTTATAAGCATCCTGGTATAATCCTCTGTATTAGGGTTTTTTGTGCGTGTGTGTTGCTACAATGAAATACTTGGAGCACAGTAGCTTTATAAAGAAAAGAGTTTGTTTGGATGTGTAGAGCCAAAGGCCCTTAATTAACAATGGCCCTCTTACTGGTAAAAGTTTCAGGGTGGAGGTATATCATGTGACAGGATAAAAGGAAAGAGTGACCTGTGGTGTGTGTGTGTGTGTGTGTGTGTGTGTGTGTGTGTGTGTGTGTGTGTAGGTATAGGTAGCAGGATAATGATCCAAACCTAGCCCTGAGCAAGAACTTAAGACCCTTTCTGGAAAATTATTAAAGCCAAAGGACTAGAGGGATGGCTCAAAGAGTAGAGTATCACTCTCATGTACAGGCCTTGAATTCAAATTCTTGTACTGCCATAATAATAATAAAGATCTTTTGGAGAGTATACAGATACTCCTTGATTTTCTCCTAGGGTTAATACCCTAGTCTTGATGAAAAGTTGAAGATACATTAAATACACTGGACCTACCAAGCATCACAATCTGGCACGTATCTCCCTGTGGAGTCTTGATTGTTTCTCTTGTGATCCTGAGTCTGGATGGGAGCTATGGCTTATTGCCCTGCTCAGCATCTTGAGGAAGACTCACACGGGAATTGCTACTATCCTGGGAAAAGATCACAATTCACAACCCAGACTGGTTTCTATGAAATGTAAAGTTGCACATTGTCAAACTATATTAAGGTAGATACTGTGGGCGCAGTAACATGAGGATGGTGACAGCCTCTGGGAAGACCTGTGAAGCTGGGTACCCCTCCTGATCCACAACTGTTGACTCAATGACCATCTGGATGAGAGAGTGAAATTGGAAACCAGTTTATATTAGATGCACTAGAAGGTGGCCTGAGGGCCAGCTTCTCTCACACAGTGGATTTAGGAGAGGCTCAGACACCCAGCTGTGCATTTAGCAGGCTTGGTTACAGAAGCCAAGACTCTTGGCTTGTCTTTACTTAGGAAAAACCACTCAGCACCAACTCACCTTGGACTGTAGTGGTTAATGCTTGTCTTGGAATGAACCCTCAGTTAATCTCAATTTTCTGGCATAGGCCCTGACTTTGACTAAGCCTATTTGATGAATTGGTTTTGAAAACTAGTACTCAGGGTCAGCTTTTCATGTTTCAATACTGTGGCCTCATCATTGCTCCCAAACACGAGCAAAGCTTAGCTTAGCTTTGTCTCAGACTATGGCATTCAGTCCATTTGTCATTGCTGTAACAAAATACCTGATGCTGAGTAATGACTATTAAAAAGAGAGGTTTATTTTGTTACACAGTTCTGGTGGGTAGAAAGTCAAAGCAATATGGTGCCGGTGTGACTTCTAGTGAGGGTCTTGTGCTGGATAGAGTTGCATGATGGGGAGAGACAGAGACAGACAGACAGAGACAGAGAGAGAATCACATGGTGAGACAAGAAGCAAAAAGAGAGCCAAATATGTCTAACTCAATTTCTTACAACTGATTGCAGCTAAATGGATGACAGCCCATTTTAAGGAGCTAATCAGCTCTTCAATGGCTTCACTGACTCCCCACTCTTCTGCTCCTTTGGTAATTAAGCCTCTACACCAGTTCAAGTGATGACAGACGATATTCAAACCACAACACTGAGGTTCTTATCTGACCTCTTACCTTGCTTTTTTCTCCCCAGAATATCCGCTTTTGTATGGCTACCATTAGCATAAAGTCCCCTGAAAAACTGTTGGTCTTGGCCTCACTCTCAGTCCCTTCGGGCTCCTTGCTTTTTTCTTCCAGGGCTCTGCGGCAGGGAAGGACCCGACCCGTTTTTGTCCTTACGACAAGTGAGGCTTGGGGTCATTGCTACAAGTGTGATTTGCTAGGAAGTTAATCATGAGCCTGAGCTGAGGCAGAATATTCTCCAGTGGAGAACTTTAGCTTTAATGCAGGTCCAGCAAAGACCTCAACAGATCCCACCCCAGGAGGTAGAGAGGTCTAGGATTGGTTCTTCAGAGTGATCCTGAGTGGAGGCTAGGAGGCTGAGCTTCCCCTCCACAATGACCAGGTGTTGGGCACAGGCTGCTCCTGGGGAAGGAATGTGATGTAGGCCAGGTGCTGTCTGTGGCTGAAGCAGTTCTGGAGAGCTGCCAACATATCCCCAGCTTGACAGTGCAGGCTGTTGTCCAGGACAAAGGATCTCAGGATGCTCACACAGTTGCTTGGCCTTGCAGAGGTAGTAGTTCCAAGCTTGTACTGGGCAGACTTGCGCTCAACTTCTGCCTCAGCCACTGATCTGCTGGTCCCTGGAAAAATTCTTTTTTTCTTTTTTGGTTGTGGGGCTTGAACTCAGGGCCTGGGCTCTGTCCCCAAGTGTTTGCACTCAAGGCTAGTGCTCTACCACTTTGAGCCACAGTGCCACTTACAGTTTTCTGGTAGTTAATTGGAGATAAGAGTCTCACGGACTTTCCTACCCTGGCTGACTTTGAACCAGGAGCCTCAGATCTCAGCCTCCTGAGTAGCTAGGCATAAGCCACTGATGCCCAGCTTGGAAAAATTATTTTTCTATAACTGAGGGATATTTTGTGACTGGTGAATTTGCTTCACTGTTCACTGCAAAATACTTTGTATAGTTAGGAGGAGAAGATCAAAGTGAGAGAAAGGACTTTACAGGGTCTTATCCAGCAATAAGTAGCATGTGCCTGGGTGAGGGTGGCTAAGTTTTGGAGCAGATTAAAAATTGCACAGGATATTGGGTGCAGAAGTACCACACAGCCTGTGAATAGCAATACAGTCTATCAGTGACTGTGTGTGTGCGCATGCGTGGGCACGCACGTGTGTGTGTGTGTGTGTGTGTGTGTGTGTGTGTGTGCGTGCGTGCGTGCATGCATGCGTGCACGCACACACACGCAAGTGCATGTGCTGGTACTGGGACTTGAACTCTAGGCCTCATTCTCCCTCTCACCATTTTTGCATAAGACTTGCACTCTGCCACTTGAACCACAGTTCTACTTGCAACTGTATGCTGGTTAATTGAAGATAAGAGCCACACAGATTCGTCTGCTTGGGCTGACTTTGCAGTGCTATCCTTAGATCTCAGTCTCCTGAGTGGCTAGGATGACAGGCACATAGTCTGTCATTCTTACAAGACACCACTACTCTCACCTGCAGGTGCCCTATGGGTGGCTGGTCATTGTCTCCTCTTTCATGCACACAGCCTGCCTCTGGCATTCTGTCTCTCCAGGTGACACAGAAGATCCCCCTGGTGATTGTGCAAGGCCACCTGGTCTCGGAAGGGGTCCTGCTCTTCGGTCACCACCACTTCTACATCTGTGAGAACTTCACCTTGTCCCCTACGGGCGATGTCTACTGTACCCGCCACTGCTTATCCAAGTGAGTTGTTCACTTCTCCCAGCAGATTTGTCCCAGCCCTGTCTCCTTTCCAGACACCCCTACCTTCCAAACTCCCATTTGGTTCTTACTGTGGACTTGGACCCTGAAATGGAGCCATGAGACAAAACAACCACCTACAGGCATACACCATCCACGGCCATGGCTCCCCAATGCAGTGTTTGGCTTGGGTGACAGCATGGCTGCTCCCTGTGTCTCTCATGGTACAGAATGGAGCATGGTTCTTGTGAATATTTCCTCAAGTTCTTGGGTAATTGAATTCAGTCACATCAGTTTACATATTTAATGATTTATTGGCCGGTCATGACTTGGTGCCTACACAGTGGGCATGACCCTTCGTGCAGCCCATAACATGAACAACATAAACAGGTTCTTTGGAGGAAGAGTGGATGGAGCACACTGTCTTCATGGAGTAATGGAGGCACTTGGACTTCCATACTTAGATAATCTGGACTGATGCGTGGGATGGAAGGCTTCCTGAGGGAGATGGCTCTTGGAGGATGGATGAGGTTTGGGCAGAAATCTTCAGTATTTGACATCCTTAGCAGGAAATTCTGAAGTCTTTCTTTAGTAGCATGCATGTTTGAATCTATCTGCATTCAGCTAGCCTTCCTGATCAATTCTCTGCGTTCAACTAGCTCTTACTGATCAGTTCTCCTGTGTTCATAAAGTTAGAGCCATTCAAAATCAAATTCATGGGGGTGGCAGTTTTTCTAAAAGTCCAGTTATGAAGTTAGGCTTTTCACTTGATCCTTGCTGTGGAAGATGTTGGGAGAAAGATTACCTTGTGCAGAGACAGGCTTTCTCCTATGGCTAGCAAAGGTCGCACGATGAGAGTGTACACTCAGCCCTGTGATTTTGTAGACAAGCTCACATCCGAATCACCCAGAGGTCTCACTGGAGCACAGACTTTGGAGCCCTGATTGCTCTCTGATTTCTCACCCAATAAGTCTGGGGTAGGAATTGAGATGGTTACTAAGTTTCCAGCTCAGAGGGATTCTACCATTTGCTTGGGTTACTGACAAAGAAATGAGAGTTGTAATCTGCTAGTGGGTAAGAAGTTGAATCCCCAGTGTGTGTGTGTGTGTGTGTGTGTGTGTGTGTGTGTGTGTGTGTGTGTGTGTGTGCATGTCAGGAAGCCCGAGACAGAGCATGTGGAAAGGAAGCCATCAGCCCACCCTCTTTAGATTTAGAATTGCTTTCTAGGCCTTGGCATCTTCCCTCTGCTAATTTCCATCTTTTATTCATATCAAACGCTCACTGATTGCTGCAAGTCTTCTGTGCTTTTCCAAGGCAGGAGGAACATAATTAATACTTGGCACACTCTTCTCATCTTATTGCTCATGTTTTATTGATACTGATCAATAGTGACAATGGGTCTGCAGACTTGCCTTTCTGAGAGCTGATGAAAGCTTTCTACTCTACCGGTGTACACGGCATGTCCACGTGGAGACGTGTATGATCCATCGTCTCACACTCCACCTGGGTTTGGATTGAGCTGGTGTTAGATAAGATAGTATTGATTAGGTACATTGTGTGTATGAGGTACTTCTAATCATGATCAAATCGACTCTCTTCTGCACGCTGAATAGAAGCCCAGTGGTCAGGCTGAACATACTCACTTGATTTACGATGACAAGAGAGACTCCTCCTGTCTGGAAAGGTACTCTTCTAGAATGCAAAGAGGAGCAGAGCGAGAACAAATGACTATACAAGTGTGTCATTGGGGAATTGCATGGGTAATTTTAGTTACCATACCTCAAAGAAATGTTTGTTAATCAGACAGCACCAGCCCTCCCGGGTCTTGTCTACTGCCCAAAGAAACTCCTGGCATTCCTGGAGAGATGGTTCTCAGAGACAGGCTTGTAGATCATGTCAGATCAATTGGGATTACATCTGGTTCTGACCATAGAGACTAAGGAAGATACATAAATAAGCCTGTTAAAAATAAAGCGAAGTCAACCCTGAAATGCTTCTCTAAAAGACTGCTATCAAGTTGAGTACAGTTGGTCATTAGACCTTGAAAGAGACTCTCTGATGTACCATAAAACCCTCTTCACAAAGTCTAAGAGCACTGCACATCCCCCCCTGTCTGACTGGACTTATTTATTGAGACTTTTCGGTAGAAACCCTCCAAGATTAATTTTTACTGGGTTTCTTTCTTGGCTATATTAGTTTGCTAGGGTTGTCAGAATCTGGGTGGCTTTAAAAAATTTATTGTTTTACAGCCCAGAAGCTAGAGGTACAAAATCAAGGTGTCAGCAGAGCCTTGTTCTCTTGACTGCTCAAAAGTAGGTTTAAGGGAATCCTTTCTCATTTCTTTCAGCTTGTGAATTTGTGGATAATCCCTGGCATTCCTTGGCTTGTAGCTGCATGAAGCCAAAAGTGTCTCATGGCTGTTTTCTCCCTCTGTGTCTTCACATCATCTTCCCTCAGTGTTTGTCTCTGTGTTTAAGTTTCCCATCTTAATGAAGAACCAGTTATGATTAGAGCCTATCCCGATGACCTCATTTTAACCTGAAGGCCTCTGAAATGCCCTATTTCCATATAGTGTCACGTTCTGACCTTAACCTATATTTGGAGGATTGGTCATAAATTGATCTAAAACAATGGCCAGTCCAGCCCATAACATAGAACATCTGAGCCATTTTGTAGGAACCTAAACCATCCAACAGAATCTAGGGGTGAGCTATTAAATCAAGATGCAGACTCCACATCTGTGAGCATATTCAGGCCCCAAGTCTCTAATTCAATTCTAAAACGATGAATTAAAAATCTACCTTATGTCAGAAGGTTCTCCAGATACAAAGGGGTGAGTCAGACATGGGCTGAGCCCATGATTGAGCTTATGATTGAGCGACAGTTCCAGGGACACATTTTAGGTACAATTCAGACAGTTATTGAATAACTTCAAATCAGGGTGGAAAGAAAAATGCATTTCCCTTCCTCCCTTCCTCCATTTCTCCCTTCCTCCCTTTCCCTCTTCCTCCCTCCCTCTCTCCCTTCCTCCGTTACTTCCTTCCTTCCTTCCTTCCTTGCTTCCTTCCTTCCTTGCTTCTTTCCTTCCTTCCTTTCCTTCCTTCTTCTTTCCCTATTTTGTGCTGGTCCTGGATCTTGAACTCAGGGCTTGAGCACTTTCTTGAAGTCTTTTGCTCTACCACTTGAGCCATAGCTCTGCTTCTGGCATTTTTGGTGTTTAATTGAAGATAAGAGTCTCACAAACTTTCCTTCATAGGCTGGCTTTGAACCTTGATCCTCAGAGCTCAGGTTTCTGAATGAATAACCTGGCATGAGCCACTGGCACTCAACTCAAAATATATTTCTGCTATTTACCCCTGCTGTCAAGGACTAGTATGATGACTATTACTTAGCTGACTGTGCCCTAGTAAGGATGTTGAAAGTCCTCTTGTGATCAACCTGGCTGTCTTCATACGGTGTAGTCTGGTAGCTGTGGGAGAGTACCATAGTGACAGTGTCCTATGAGCCACAGTTGCTGACCTCTAAAGACCATCGACAAGGCCCTTCCTACCCATTGACCTGGGATGCCTGGGCTCAGATTTATTCTTTACTTGTAGGGCATGTTGTCAGAGACACCCAATCACTGCTGTGGGAATCATGCTACAGAAAAAATTTAGCTTTTCATAATCCCAGGAGGCTGAGATCTGAGGATTGCTATTCGAAGCCAACCCAGGCAGGAAAATCCATGAGACTCTTACCTCCAATAAGCTACTCAGAAAAAGCCAGAAGTGGCACTGTGGTTCAAGAGGTAGAGTACTAGCCTTGAGCCAAAGAGCTCAGGGTTAGTGCCCAGTCCCTGAGTTCAAGCCCCACAACTGACCCCCCTAAAAGAAATCAGCTTTTCTGAAGATTCTAGTCTATCCAACTATTCTTGTCCTATGAGATCATACAGCTCCCATATTCCAGAACTGCAAGCCCTTCCCACTTGCCCAGTGCCTTCTTCCTCCTGCTATCAGTGTGTCAGAGTCTTACATCACAGAATCTGGAAGCAGGAAGTGAGAAGAGAGCACTGGCAGGAAGAGCCCTGTGAAATCTTTAAGGAAACCTCCTCAGGGAGGGAAGACAGCACTGAAAAAGCTTAGGTTTATGGTCAGAGACTCTGGGTTTGAATCCAAGTTCTAGCTGTTAGTATCTCATGTACCCTTGGAAGAGACGAAGACTTTTTAGATTTAGATTGTGATTTAGATTTAGGATTTAGAGTTAGATTTTTAGCTTTAGATTGTGGGGCCAAGGGCAGTGTGCGCTGAGAGGAGCGGTTCCTTTTGGGGGAGGATCAGATGGGGAAGTGCTTGCCACCCAGGAACATGGCAATCACTGAGGAAAAATCCCAGGGCTCAGGGGAAGATGAGGGGCAGAGAACCACGGCCCTGGCACGGTCTGCAGAGGATAGAAAGTGAAGCAAATGGAGAGTTACAGTGTTGAGGACATCACTGTGATTCCTACAGCAAGGGCCTGGACTGTCATTCTTACCAGGCCTTCATCTGAATGCTGTGTGGCCTAAGCCTAGGGGAAGACATAAGGTCATCACTGTGACCCCATGGGAGTCAGGAAAGTTGAAGGGAAGTTTAGATCCAAATCCAGCAGAAGCATTAATAATAGACAGAAGGCCTTGGCCAGCAGCAAATTTGAATGAAAGCATTATGGAAGAAGTGTCTAGACCCAAAGCCACATTACCCACGTTATGTATACCTTTTTTTGGTAGTTAATTGGGGATATCATGGACTTTCCTGCCTGAGCTGTCTTCAAACCCTGATCCTCACACCTTAGCTAGTATTACAGGTGTGATTACACTGGCACCCTGGCTCATATTTTATATTTAATCAATCATGCAGTAATTGCTCAGAGCAGAAGGGTATGCAAGGGCTACTCTGAGAAGGGGCATGTGGGGTCCCAGAAAACTTGAGTTTGCCTCTTCAAAGTTGAGCAGTGCATGGGCTTCCTTTCCATAAACTACAATCCTTGATTTGAGTCCTTTGTCTCTGTGGTCTCAAAGAGGGTGAAGTACAATGGCAAAGACTTATTGAAAATAAAGATAAGCCAAGCTCCCACTAGACAGGAGGGGCCCAAGGGGCCCCAAGCACCTGGGGTGCTTGTGCAGGACTTCATAAGGTGTCTCTAGGAGAGAGTTCAAGTGGCTCAAGTGGTAGAGTGCCAGCTTGGAGCAGAAAAAAGCCAGGCAAGAATGCAAAGCCCCAAGTTCAAATCCCAGTATTAGCAAATACACAAACACACAAAAAGAAATAAAAAGAAAAAGAAGTAATAACCACAATAACAATAAACTAGAAAATTACAATAATTTATTATAATAAGTTATTTAAAGCTTACAAATGGTTTTCTTACAAAAAATGCCAATAATGGCTAAGATACACAGTTAACAGGAGCTGTGCCATTTTGAAACTCAAACTCTACTTTTCCATAAGATCTTGAGAGTTTACCTTTAATCTAGTTGAGCATCTGCCCATCCATCTCCTGGTGGCTGGCAAAAGGATGTCGCATTTGTCCTGTGTACTTGGTCTAAAATCCAAAGACTTCAGCATGATCACAAGGCCCCAGATGGATCAGCCCAATCTCTACTATCTCTTTATCAAATGCATTTTTCGCTTAGGCTCTTGGTGGGCCAGTGGAACCCCTTTCAAGTTTGGCAACTACCACAAGCTTCTTCAATCAAAGTGAACGTATTTGTCAGGCACTGAAGTGGCTCATGCCCATGATTCTAGCTACTCAGGAGGCTGAGATCTGAGGATCATAATTTGACGTTAGCAGGGGCAGGAAAATCTGTGAGATTCTTATCTCCTGTTAGCCACCCAAAAGCCAGAGGTAGAACTGTGGTAGAAGTGGTAGAGTGACAGTCTTCAGGGGAAAAAGCTAGGGGATTCCTCCTCTTTCCATCCCCCAAGCCTAGATGTCACAAGCTGAATGAATTCCGGCTTCTCATCAGTCATTTTTGCTGTGTGATTTAAGTGGTGTCTTCAGTATTGAGTGAACCCCTTTTTGTCTCAGGCTGCGCACACCTAGTTATTCAGCGTAGCCCAGCTAGAGAGATCTCAGGGATGGGGATGTGGGAAATGGTCCAGGGGACTGAAGGGCCACATATTTTAGCACCTTCTCTCAGAGACCTGTACCCAGGAAGCTTTCTGACCTTTCTGTGACAATGTAGTCCTGTCCCCTGGGAGGCTAGCACCTCTCTCAACGCCCAGGCAGCAGAGCTACCAGTGTCAGAGTTCCGGGTGCAGGAATCCTATGGCCCTGCACTTAGAAATTGCTTGCCAGGTTAACAAGAGTCTTCACTCCAGTTAGTAAAACCACAGCCTCCTCTATTGTGTCCCTAGAAACTTGTGTAGGACCAGTGGAAGGCAAGAGATGGGTAGAGCCTGTCCAACACCCCAACTCCTGCGCATGTCCAAACCTGGTCTCTGCATGTCATGTTTCCTTTCCAGCATCAGCGATCCCTTCATTTTCAACCTGTGCAGCAAAGACAGGTCGTCTGACCATTACTCCTGCCAGCGCCACAACTATAAGGACCTCAAGGAGCTCCGGCTGGCCCGCTTCCTCCTGCAGGTATGTCGGAGGGCTGGTGGGAAGCTGGGCACCACAGAGGCTGTTTCTCTGTGAGTGGCCCCTGTGCACAGCCCTGGGAAATACCTGTGAGACTCAGGTGTGTGTCAGGCCCTGACTGCTGGCGGCTCTGATTCCACACTGTCTCCAGGCCAGGACGTTGGCTTTGGGGCCAGTCTCTTGCTCTCTGGGTGATTGAGGGTCCAGCCGTGTTGCCTCTTTGCTGTTGTGTATGGGTGTGGATGTGGGGGGATGATGGTGGTGGCTTGAGCTCAGGGCCTGGTGCTCTCCCTTGGTCTTTCTCTCAAGGTTGGTGCTCGACTATTTAAGCCACACCTCCACTTCCAGCCTTTCCTGGTTCATTGGAGTTGAGTCTCACAGGCTTTCCTGCCCAGGCTGGCTTTGAACCAGCATTCTCAGGTCTCAGCCTCCTGAATAGTAAGGATTGCAGCCTTTCTGCTTTCTTTTCTTTCCACATACTCCAGTGTTGCCTTGGAGATGTAAGAATATAGGGCACTTTAGCTACACTGCATTGCCAGACAACTTGATGGCTCTGTCCAGTGCTGCCTCCCCTGCTGACATCCCTTCCCTATTGCTGGCCTCTCTCCCCTCACTTCCCCATCTTCCCACACTGACTGTTGGCCAGAGCTCTGGGTTCCTGATGCTTTCCTAGGCCAGGTAGTTTGGGGACCTGCTGTCTGCCCTGTCTGATTGGCATCTCCCAGAGAATCTCCACTGCTAGCAGAGGTTTCCCAGGCACTAACAGGAGATGGTAGCTCCTTTCAGAGGAGCTTTATCTCGTGAATAAACCAGTCTGCTTAGAAACCTTACCTCAGAGACTGAGGGAGGAGGATACATGCCAGTGGCCTTGAACACAGATCACCTCCATCAGCTTGACCTCAGCAAGATAAAGATACACCTCGGCCCCAGGCCTGTGAGGCAGCTGCAGGGCAGAGCATGAGGAGATGCAGGGCCCTCGCTCCCTTTCTCTGCAGGGCCTGGGCTAGTTCCGAAGGCCAGCAGCGGGCATTGTTTGTTCCTGATGAAGTTAATAAGGGCACCTTTGATGGATAGTTTTTGAGTGCATGGAACATTTAATTCATCATGCATCTCAAGCAGGAGCTTCTTTAGTATTCTTTGAAACTGAAGCTCAGGGAGGCCTCTTGGGAAGGTAGATTCTAGAAAGTACCAGCTGCCCTGCAGCTCAGGGTTAAGCCAGTGGCACTGAGTCTAGGCCTCTGGTGAGTTCCCTCTTTCTCTTGCTGCTGCTTTTGTCTGTCATTTGTCATATCCTTCCCGAACTTTGGAGAATAACTAGAAGATGTGCATGAAGAGGCAGCCCTGCTGAGCAGGCTCTAGCCACATGAAGGAGGCCACATCTGATCCAGGCTGTGGCCCATTTGGTCACTGAGCATCTCAGCCTTCAATGCACAAGCCACGTCTTATCTTTTCCACCCCTGTAACATACAGTGCTGAAAATATTTTGCTGCACAGAGTTGGTACTCCAAAAAGCTACCTTTCATGATTCTGTGTTCACCTTTTTGTTTGTTTGTTTTTGTCAGTCGTGGGAGCTGAACTCTGGGCCTGGGCGCTGTCCCTCAGCTCTTCAGCTCAAGGCTAGCTCTCTACCACTTGAGCCACAAGGCCACTTCTAGCTTTATCTGCTTATGTACTGCTGAGGAATTGAACCCAGGGCCTCATGCATTCAAGGCAGGCACTCTACCACTGAGACAACTTCGCAGCCCCTCACCTTATAAGTTATTTGTGGTAGCAAATAGCTTTAGTTTATTTTCTGCAGCAAACAATGATTGTTTCCACATGTTGGTTATTTGCCTGATGGTAGTAGAAGCCAGACATAGGAGAGGGTGTGTGTGTGTGTGTGTGTGTGTGTGTGTTGCCAAGTGGGACAAGAGTACCCTAAGGGGGAACTTTGGGAACCAGGCCACCAATCATCCAGCTCTGAGAAAATCAGAGCCTGGCACTTGAGGTAGCCAGTGCAAGCTGGAGCCGCCAGTGAAGTCTGTAGATTCTATTTTGCTTTGTTTTGCACATTATTTGTTTCTCCTTGTAAAGGGAAACACCCCAGACTCTTAAATGTCACCAGAGGAGAGGGGTGGGAAATATTTTTGCAGATGCCCTTTGCCCAGGCATTTGGATGACTGCACTTGGAAAGCTCAGTTCCACGTTGGTGGAAGTGGGACATAGTTGCAGTCGGACACAGGACCACATTATCAGAGTCTGACTCTTATTCCTACCTGCCTGGGTTTTTCCAGGCCTCAGCTTTGTTTCTCCCTGTTCTCCCTGGAAATTCCTTCCCCCTAAATTCATCTTATCCTTCATGCTTCCTTATTCCAAGGCTGTTACTTTCATGGCTTGGAATAGAAGGGATGGAGAGAGTACAAGAGGAAGGAAAGAAAAAGGAAAGAAAAGCATGTAGATTCTATTAGGCATTAACATCATACTTTTAATAACGGCATTGCTGACTGTGCAAAACACCTTCTTGTCTCCTGTGTCTGTAGATGAAACCACAGTGGTCCTCAGGGTGAGCATCAATCCCACTCTGTTAACTTCTGATGTTTCTCCTGAGGTGACTCTTGATTCAAAAAACCAAGCCCCTGACCTGGAAGTGTCTGGAAGGGGCAATTGAGCAGGTCACCCTTTTGCCTACTCTTCACTTATCCTGGAAGTAGGGATTTTACTTTCTGCTTCATCCAAAGGAGATGGCAGCTGTGGCCAGGACCCTGGTCTCCCATCCATTCTGTAGAGCCTCCATTCCCCCATCACCAAGGTTTTCCTACCCTCAAGAGAGATCAGAAGAACTAACCAGGTTCAGGAACCCACATGACCCATGGCCAGTCGCTGTTTCACTCAAAGGAATCTCCATTTCAGGAAATATCTGCAGCAGTAAAGGCTCTTCTCTTTGTAGGATATTGCCCTAGAGATCTTCTTCCAGAATGGACATACCAAGCTCCTTGTCTTCTACAGCAATGATCGGAGTAAAGCCTTCAAAAGGTAAGGTATTGAAAAACAACCCTCCTTCTGAGGAAATAGGTTCTAAACCCAAAGTGTAGTGACAGAGAAACTTGGTTCTGTTCTCAGGAAAAGCATTTTCAAACTGCAGCAGGGAGGATTCAGATCATGCGCCAGGAAGAATATCCTGACCCCCTAGAGCTAGGGTCGTAGATCAAAGAACAGACAAAGGAGATAAATTCCTTCCATATGTCCTGAAGATTCCATATTGGTGGGGTAAAGTGATTTGGGTTGTATTGTAGTGGGTACAGGGAGAGAAAGTCATGCAGATACAACCTATTTAAGACCTTGGATCTTTAATTGGCCTTTCAGAATGTTCTGGCTCTATTTCCGAATTTTCTAAGTTATAAACTCACTTTTTGATCCTGATTGCCAATTTTAGTGGCTCAAATTTTTTATCTCATTGCAAAGAATTCCCAAGCAAGCAACTGATTGTTTCCCTTTGTACACTGAACATTTATTTCCTTAGAAAAGCCTGTTCTGTCAGCGCAACTCCTCTTTTTTCAACTAAATGAGTCAATATAAGAAATGCAAGCCAGTATCTGAATTCCTAATATTCAAGGTCATTTGTGTTCACTGTTATGAAAGTTACTGAAAGAAACAGATTTGCAGAGGATCTAGAGAACACAGAGAGGAAGGTAGGGCTTGGGTCACGGAGAGACAACATAGAGGTTGGAGGACCAGGAAGGTATTATGTTCTCCTCTGCTTTGGGCTGGAAGTTTGGAGGTGAGCTTTGATACTCCTGGCTTGGGAGCCCTAATTTCTGCTCAGAGGTTCCAACTTTGTCTTCTTGGTGGCCCTGGTCAGTAAGTGGCCCAGGGTTAGCCATTGCATCCCAGGGGCAGGGCCAGAGTAGAGAAAAACAACGGCTGTGAGGGGCTGATGATTTAGCCCTGGGCCTACCCACCTGTCTCTGATGAGGCTTCCTGAGTACCAGATGAGGCAACTCTTACAAGGACCGCTGTTAAATTTCCTTCTAAAACTATTTTCCAAGTCCATGTTAGACCAATGGAATAAGGAGACATGTAATGTGGATCTTAATTCACTTTTCCTCAAAAACAGAATTCTACAATTGATCTAGAAGGCTTATACAGAGTCATCTGGCCAGTTTTATATCAGTGTTATATAATAACGGATGTAATCAACTCATAAAGAGAAAAGCAATATTTGGGTTCATGATTTTGGATGTCCCAGCTCATGACTAGTTAGCCCTGTTGCTTTAGGCCTATGCAGAGCATTCAGCTCATAGCAGAGAAGTGAGAGGGAGAGAGAGACAGAGACAGAGAAGGAGAGAGAGAGAGAGAGAGAGAGAGAGAGAGAGAGAGAGAAGAAAAAGAAGGAGGAGGAGGAAGGGGAGGAGGAAGAAGTATGGAGGTCTCGTAATCACATTTTTTGTGGCAGTCTAGGGGCTTGAACTCAGGGCCTGGATGCTGTCCCTGAGTTTTTGTGCTCAAGACTGATGCTCTGACACTTGAGCCACAGCTTACTTTGGCTTTTCCATGGTTAATTGGAGATAAGAGTCTCACAGACTTTCCTACCCTAGCTGGCTTTGAACTGTGATCCTTAGATCTCAGCCTCTTGAGTAGCTAGGATGATAGGCCTGACCCACTGGTGCTTGCCCATAATTCCTTTGAAGGTCATGCCCCAATGACCTAAAAACCTCTCATTAGGCCCTATCTCTTAAAGGTTTCATTTACCTCTTAAAGGTGCTACCCTGGGGACCATGTCTTTAGTACATGGGCCTTGGGAAACATTTAAGATGCAAACTATAGCACATAGCTTAGGCCTAATGTAAACTCTGACCACACTGATTCTCCCTATAGTGTCTTAAGATAGCATTTGTCCTCCAAGTGGCACACCCAAATGTATAGCAGTAATTGTCGAAGAGGGTTATGGAAATGTCAAGTGCCTGAGGAGGCATGTCTATCACATTGCCTTCATAGCTCTTGTTTTATTTCCATCATTGTCTATATTGAAGCAAGAGTGCTAGAAGATGCTAAGGGGTTCTCAGAGGTACACAGGCCTGGTTCTCCCCTTCGCAGGACAAGGTGGGACATGGAAGAGAGCTAGAATGGACCAACTTCTTTGCCTGGTTCTAGAAATATTTCTACTGGTACTAGGAAAGGCCTAGCTCTGCTGATAAGATCCTTTCTTTTTTGTTAGTTTCTGCTCTTATCAACCTACCTTGAAGGGCAAAGGAATCACGGATGACCCCCTCAATCTAAGGTAACGTAGCGTGGGGGAGAGGGTGCTCTCTGGGCTCGGTGTTATTCTCAATTTGTTTGTATTCTCTAAGGGTCAAGCAAAGAACATGCCTATCTGTTTCTCCTTTAGTTTTCTCTTTCCAGTGTCCATAAGCTTTCATCCTAATCCTAAAATTCCTTTTGAACTTCAGCCTCTATAAACTGATCTTCAAGTCCCATGTACTTTTTTTTCCCAGATCTAAATGGCATCAAGTGCCCCTTCTGTCATGATTGGGCCTAGTGCTTGTAGATATTTTACCCTGGCACAGCCTTTGGTGAGGGGTCAGGCCCTCAAATTTGGGCTGGTGAATCATTCTGCAGGGAGAGTTGCTGAATGCTCAGAAGCTAAATCAATACAGGCGATACAGCCTTACTCCGGAAACTTGAAATCCAAAATGCTCCAAAGTCCCAAATTTTGAAGCACTGATATCATCACACAGAGGATAAAATTCCACATGTGGCTTCATTCAATAGGACTACAGTCAAAAGGCAAAAACACTGAAAATATTGTATAATATTATCTTCAGGTTATGTGTATCACACGGCTATGATAGACCACTGAACTTGGGAATGTGGGAGTTGTTGATGACCTATAAAACAGTGATAGGAATTTCTTGGTTAAATTTGGGTCCTGTCCCTAAGATCTCTCATTATGGATGTGTGCATATCCCCCAATCCAAACACGTGTCAAATCTGAATCGTTTCTGGTTCTGAGAATTTTGGGTTAGGAGGCATTGATCTAAATATGATAGCCTATGAATCATATGGTGATTTATAATCTATCTGATAGGGTATGTTCATAGGGAAAGCACCTTTAACGTCACCGAGGAATCCTTTTCTGCAAGGCCAATCCAGAGGCCTTTATATTTATATTAAAAAAATTTGTTCAATACTTCCTTTTTTTTTTCAGTTGGAATGAGGGATAAAGTGGGTGTGGTTTTCTCCAGGAATGTGTTATGTAGAATGTGTTATGTGTTATGTGTTATGTGGGAATGTGTTATGTAGGGATGGGAAGGAGTGCCCCAGAAATGATATCCACCACGAATTCACTTAAAATTATGTGTCGCTAGCTTTGAATGTGGCATTTATGCTTAACAAAGCTATAAGCAAAATAGCAAAAACATCCTGTGCCCTTATTGAATTTCTATTCACGTGAGGAGGACAGACATAAATCAATTTGTGTGAGTGAACTATAAAGCATAGTAGACAATAAATACAGGAGACAAAGCAGATGGAGGTGGACATTGAAATCTTAGATGGGATGAAGGACACTTCTATCAAGAAAACAGTATTTGAATATAATGTAGTTAGGAAAGACCATTTCAGGAGAAAGATCAAAGCCAGTTGGGTGCCAGTGGCTCATACCTACAATCCTGGCTACTCAGGAGGCTCAAATCTGGGGATCATGGCTTGAAGCCAGCCCCAGTAGGAAAGGTCAAGAGATTCTTATCCCCAGTTAACTACCCCTCCACCCCAAACAAAAAAGCTAGAAATAAAGCTGTGGCTCAAGTGGCAGACTGCTAGCCCTAAGCAAAAACAATCTCAAGAACAACACTCAGGCCCTGAGTTTAAGTCCCAGGACTGGCAAAGAGAGAAAGAAGGGGGAGAGGGAGGGAGGGAGGGAGGGAAGGAAGGGAGGGACAGAGAGAGAGAGAGGATGAGGGGGGAGAGTTAAAGCCATGAGCGGAAGTTTAGCTGGTTTGGTCAAGTCTGGAGCAATTGGGCTGAAGGAAATTAATGGGAACAGACCAGAGAGGGGTACAAGATGACTGTATAATCCTTGAGGGCTCATGGTAATGTTGGCTTTTACTCTGAATCACAGAGATGTTTGAGCAGAAGAATGATATATCCTGACTCATATTTGCAAAGAATCACCTGGGCTGCTGGGCAGAGAACAAACCATAGTAGGTCCAACGCAAAAAATAGAGACTGGCCAGGAGGCCATTGCAATAGCCCAGGTGGGTCAGGGAGATATCAGTGAAGAAGTGTGTGGACATGTTTCAAAGGTAGATCTGATAGGGTCTTGATGACAAGAGTTTTGGGAGGGAGAGGCAGGGAGAGAGGAAAGGAAAGGAGGAAAGAGGGGAGGAGGGAGAAGAGGGGAAGAGAGACAGAGAGGAGGAAAAAGGAAGGGAAGTAGGGCGATAAAGAAAAAAATGTAAGGAAATGACCAAGGATTTAGGCTTAAGTGGTTGGAAAATGAAAAGCGATCCACTATTCAGAAAGAGCTGTGACTGTTTTATATCAGGAACTCAGATTTGGTCATGTGAATGTTTCTGGAAATTTTTTAGTTATTATAATGGTGATATGCAGAAGAGTTACAGTTACATGTCAGGCAAGGAGTACATGTCTTTATGGACAATGTCAACCCTTCCCTTGCTCTCTCCCAGTTCTTCTCTTCCTTGTATGTGTCCCCACACACAAACTGTACAGTTCATTTTCTACATAGTGTCTAGTGAGTACCACACTGCCTTTGTTCACCCTATGTCCTTCCATTTCTGTTGCATCCTCTTACCTCCTAAAGATGAACAAATAAGAGAGAAACTAAAAACAGCAACGAGGTAGAAAACCTCGTTTCCATTTCATTGCACTTGATATTATTTTATATGATGGTCCTGTGAATTTTGAGAAGGCCACCCCGCACTTGGTATTGAGGGCATCCTAAAGGCCATTGGATATATGAATTTGGAGTTCAGGAAGGAGGTCTAGTAAGACATTAGTTGGGAGTAGTGTTTCAAACCATGAGCATGAACACAAAAGAGATGCTGACCCCAGCTGCAGACACTTGGCGGCCAGGTCCCTCCCGAAATGGTCATGTGGTGGAATGAGTGCCTGTGGGTGGGTCAGGTGTTTGAAAGTTGTTCCTCTCTCACCCAAGGGTGGATATGGGCACCACCCTCACCCTCACCCTCAGTGGATCACATCTCTATTGGCTTTATAGCCTTCTGGGCCCAAAGGAACAGGATCGGCCAGGGCCATTCAGTTTTGTGCCTCACTGCTGGAGGGAACCTTGCAGACACCTTTCTGTGGTCAAGCAGGAATAGTGTATCTTGCTGCAGCATTTCAGTAAAATTCAGAAACTTATGAAGTTAAGACTTTTATTCTTTTTTTATAAAGCATCTTTGGAGAATAAGGCAAGGAATTTAGAAGAACAGCCATAAGAAATCATGAAAGTCCCATAAGTAGATGATCTTCTATGATAATGCTACACCCCCAGGAGAACATACTTGACATCTTGGTGTTAAGAGTGTTAAGTACTCATTCTCCCAATTCTCTCCCCTCAGTCCTATGGCCCAGAGGGCCATGTCAGAACTAACTCAGAGGCTAAAATGTCTGTACTATATATGAGTACACTACACTCCAATGGAGAAATATGGTCCCTGGGTTTCTTGGTTTTGTTCATTGGGAGGCCAATGGTAGGAGGAACAATTCTGCCTTTTGAGTAGAATGTCTGGAACCAGAGATGGATTAAATAAACCTAGCCATGAACTCAAAATGTATGAGACAATGAATGCCCCAACATTTAGGAGCTTTTTATGTAGGCTTAATAAGCCATAGGTGTTGGAGGCAGGGAGATTCTACTAAATTAATGCTAGCATCTGGGTTTTGCTAGCATCTAGTTTTTGTCTTTCTTTTCTTTCTTTCTTTTTTTTTTTTTGTTGGTTGTGGGGCCTGAACTCTGGGCCCGGGAACTGTCCCTCAGCTCTTCAGCTCAAGGCTAGCACTCTACCACTTGAGCCACAATGCCACTTCCAGCTTTTTCTGTTTATGTGGTGCTGAGGAATTGAACCCAGGGCCTCATGCATGCAAGGCAAGCACTCTACCACTGAGCCACCTTCCCAGCCCCATCTTTGTCTTTCTTGCAGTAAGTTCATGTCTTGTTCCATCTTCATTTGTGTGTGTGTGTGTGTGTGTGTGTGTGTGTGTGTGTGTGTGTGTGTGTGCGTGTGTGCGAGTGTACACGCACGCCCATCCTGGGGCTTGAACTCAGGGCCTGGGTGCTGTCCTTTAGCTTTTGCTTAAGGCTACTCAAGCCACAGCTCCACTTCTGGCTCCTCACCCCCTTTTTGGTGATTAATTGGAGATAAGAATCTCAAAAAACGTTACATGGACTTTTCCTGCCTAGACTGGCTTTGCACCAAGATCCTCAGATCTCAGCCTCCTGAGTAATTAGGATTATAAGCATGAGCCACTGGTGCCCTGTTGCATTTTCATTTTTAAATAACTATAGATTCATCAGAATGAATAATATACAGATGCTCCATACACTCTGTCCTTCCTCTCTTGTTTTTTTTTTTAAACATTATTCAGTTTTACAAATAGGACAGTTACATTGGTACAAGTGTGGGCGTGGTTTCTTGTTCTTCATGTATCACCACCAAACTCAATATGTACCACTATTTCATTGCCACAAAGCAATCTCCTGTGCTGTTACTTCATCATCTCTCCTGACTCTGCCACCCTGTTGTCTTCCACTCCTGGTGACCACTGGTATGCTTTTCATCTCTGTATTTTTTTTATTTAGAGAATGTCCTATAAATAGAACCAGGGAGTGTCCATGTTTCAGACACTGGCTTTTTCAACCTCAGAAGAATGCCATTGAGAATTATTCAAGTTTTAGCATGTATCAATAGGATATTCCTTTTTTTTGCCAAGTAGTATTCCATGTATAAGTCTATCAGAGTTAGTTCAACAATGTGTACCACTGTGTACTCTAGTGGACATGTAATTGTTTCCGGTTTGGTGGCATTACAAATAAAGTTGATCATTGCAATGTTAGGCCACAAGTCTGCTATCTTACTTTTCGCTTTTGAAAGAAACTAACATTTATTATTTTTCTATTGAGGATGCATAGGAAAGGGAACACGTAAGAAATAAAAGAAATTAGTTTAAAAATCAGCCAATAGCTATGAATAACTTCTTTTTATTCTAATATTTTATATTACATGCCAATTATTCCAAAGAAAATTAAAAGTGATCCAAAGTATCCATATCAGATCCTATCCTATTCCCCTTTCTCCTTTTATTTTTTTTCAGAACTTTATAAGGTTGTACAGGGACTTACAATTCAATGTGTCCATCTAAGTGTCCTGTGCCTCTTGATCAGTCACCCTTTCCAGCATTTTGCCCAATCCTATTAGCCCTTTCTTCTAGGCTCATTTCACATTTCCTACTTGCTTTGTCACATGTGTACGTTGAGTATTCTTGCTGTTTTTGTCCCTTGTTCCCTTCCCCATTAATCTTTCCCCTCCCACTACTTCTTTTTTTTGCCTTCCTATACGTAACTGAGATGTGTCAAAATTCTACTTATGCCTAACTATAGTGCATTTGAGTATATTTCTCAACGTATGTGTTTTTGTAGCCGTTTTAGCTGTTTGACTTATCATTAAGCATCTATAATTTATCCCAGGTTACTGGCTATGAACTGGTTACTAACTTGGGTGTACCACTTTGAGTGAAATATAGAGACTGTAAGACTTTCAAGTCTTTAATTGTTTATATGTCTATCATCAAATATTTTCCAAAGTCATTTTCATATACAGGTAGCCCGAAGGAAAGAGAATGAAGGTACATAAATGAGGAAATCAGTGGCTTGGGCAGCACCAGAGAGCCTGCTTCCACAATGTTCCTCCCATGCCACTCTTGTCTTCTGATACAAGGCTTTTCTTCTTCATAGTCATTTACTCCTGTTAGCTGATCAGGCTTCATGATTGGGCCATAAGCTATTCTAGGAAGACTCAGCAGGATGCATCCTGGGAAATGGAGACACAAGAGGCTGAGGTAGCTGCGCCAGGCACCAAGGGCAATGCACAAGTCACATAGGTCAAATGGGGCTGCTCTGGCTCTCAGAAACCCTGCTGGACAGGGTCAGTGTAAGAAAAGGGAAACTCCATGGCTCTGTGTAAAGTATGTTTACTTGCCACGCTTTTCTGAGTTTCTCTTCTATGCTAAGTTTTTGAATGCCTGGGAAGGAAATACTATTTCTCTAGAATTTTCTTGTGGAGAGCTGCTGTTCTGTCTAGGCCTTGAGTTCCTGAATAGATGCTTGAGTCAGATGAAGTTATTGGAGCAGTCTATCCTAGGACTGATAGGACATTCATCCAATCCAGAAGCACAACGCTTCAGCCTGTGATAGAGACACTAGGACTGGAGGCCTGCAGAACAGCAGGTAGGAACCAGTGATCTGCCTCCAAGATCCTGGCTTAGCAGTGAGTTTACCCCTGTGTACCAGTTAGTGGCTCAGGCCTGTGATCCTGGCCACCCAGGAAGTTGAGATCTGGAGGATATAGACTGGAACTGTGTAGTAAAATGCCAAATAAATGAGTGAGCCTAGCAAGCAGGAGACTCTGAGTTCAGATCCCAAAGAATGATTGAATAGATGCCATAAATGTTATTATTTTAAGTATGTATAAACATATGTCACAGGAAAAATAGTAAGCTCTCAATAGTATGTGATTTACTTATGTTGTAGGACAGGGCACACACACACACACACACACACACACACACACACACACACACACATTTATTTTTGTGCTGGTCCTGGGGCTTAAACTCAGGGCCTGGTGCTGTCCCTGAGCTTCTCTTGCTCAAGTCTAGCACTCTACCACCTGAACCACAGTTCCACTTCCAGTTTTCTTTTTTCTTTTTCTTTTGGTAGTTTATTGGGTATAAAAAGTCTTATGGGCCAGGCAGAAAAGTCCCCATGAGACTCATCTCCATTGGACTACCAGAAAACTAGAAGTGGAGCTGTGGGTCAAAGTGGTAGAGGGCTAGCTTTGAACAAAAGAGTTGAGGGACAACACCCAGGCCCTGAGTTCAAGCCCCATGATGGACACAGACAAAAAAGGGTCTCACAGACTTTCCTGCCTTAGCTGACTTCAAACCACTATCCTCAGATCTCAGATCTCTGAGTAGCTAGAATTATAGGCATGAGCAATTAGTGCCCAGGGGTTTGATATTTTTAAAATGAAAAACATTTAGTAAAGAGAACAAATTCATGCGAGTTTGGAATCTAGATTTTCCGAGATTTTAAAAGTACTCTAGAGTTAGGTGCTGTGCTGTCTTAGCAACCCAGGCTCCAGCATTTCTCTAAAGAAATTCTAAGGGAACTAGCTCCACACTGGGGAGCTGGTGGTAGCTTCTGAAATGCCAATGATGGTAAGAAGCTTCTGGTATTATGTGCTGTGGGGCATGAGCGAAATGCATTGGCTCATTCCTGACCCCCTGTGCTTCTACAGGAGGATGCATGCATACAAAGAAGAGAGCCTTTGAATCAACAAAACCACAGGCCAAGGAGGTAGGGAAAGGTGTTTTATGGGCTTGAATGGAAGGCTACTACAGTAACAGAGAAGCTTGCCCTTTCCTGTGAATTCAGCTCACTTTCCCATTTCTTCTTCCTTCCCCCTCCAGCCTCAGGATAGGGTCCCAGATCACCTCCAGTCTTCTTGGTTATCCTTGGCCGCGGAGTTGGGTGAGACCAAATTGGCAAAGACTGGCTTTCTCGGTGCTGCTGGGGCTGTACTCTTGATTTTGTTCAGCTTCTCCCGGGCCAGTTGACATTTGCGAAGGCAGTTTGAACAGAGATCCTTTTCCTCTACCAGATAGAGGGTTTCCAGCCTCTTGATGGTATCTACAAAGGCATCCATGTCATCTGTCTTGGGGAAGGGGTTCCGCTTGGTGTTGAGCTTCTTCAGCTTGGGCAGCTTGAAGATGTTGGGGGGGATGGTGGTCAGCAGGTTGTCGTGAAGCCCAACCTCATGGAGGTCCTTCAGCGCCCCCAGGGTGGTGGGCACGTTGTCCAGGTGGTTCAGACCCAGGTTCACGGTGCGCAGGTTCTTGAGCTGGTTCAGTTCCACAGGCAGTCCATTGGTAGTGAGCTTGTTGTTGCTGACATTCAAGTAGAGCAAGGTGGTTATCTGGCCGATGGACTCAGGTAGCTTGTCGATGTAGTTGCTGTGCAGGTCTAGCCATCGCAGATTCTGAAACTTGGAGATGGAGTCGGGGATCTTTCTGATGAGGTTCCGGCTCAAGTCAATCTCGTCCACATCATTGAGTCGTAGGATGCATTTGGGGAAGGTGGTGATTCCCATCTTGCTCAGGTCCAAGCGCTTCTTCCCATCGAATGTGACCTTGATGCAATTCTTGGCCACATTGAGGGTGATCTTTCTGCCCTTAGGGGCTTTCCCACCCTTTGCCATGTTGTCTCAGTGAGCAAGGGTGCTGGAGAGATGTTGTTTCTGATTGGCTGATGATCAGTCTGAGGAAGCAGTCATGGGAAACTTCACAAGAGAGAAAATAACATCTGGTTAGGAGAAAACATAAGGGTACCAGACTCTACCCACCCCCTGAACCATGGGTTCTGCCCACTGGTGGTCAGAAAGAAACAGAATAGTAGAGAGGTTTTAGAGCATCAGAGGAGTAACCCATCAAAAAAGTCTTCACAAATGGCATGCCTAAATTCCAAATCTAACTTATTAGGAGACAAATGAGAAGTACAGAATTGGCCCAATGGATATCTCACTGCCCTGGGCTTTGATATGAACCCTGATATATGTGTGTGTGTGTGTGTGTGTGTGTGTGTGTGTGTGTGTGTGTGTGTGTGTGTGTGTGTGCACATGCATATGCGTGTATGTGTGTGCACATGTATGTATGTGTGTGTGTGTTCTTGGATAGCACGTAAATGCAAAGTCTCCTTAGAATTGCTCCATATTTGTTCTAGGGAAGGGCTGCTGTGAGATGCAACACAATCCTGGACATAAGGGAATAAGATAAGTTTTAGCAATGACTTACTATATTCCTCTTTATTTTTGGGACTTAGAGGAGCTCAGCAGACTTTGCTACAGGAAGTAAGAAGCAGCTCTGAGCCTAGGGTGTCAGAGTTTGCACCCAGTACTCCAGGATGGGTGTAGGATTGAGCCTGGCATTCGTGAGAATGCAGCCTTCCCCACCCTCCCCCACTGAAATTTGATATAGACAGCTCTTCATAAGGAGGCATATTGATGGTTATAAGGATCTCCATTCAGAGTGGTAGAATGTTGACTGTGATAGAGAATTCTGGTCTTGGTGTACTTGGCTTCAAAGTCTAGTTCTGCTCTTCTCAGAAATTCTCAGTGTCTGAGTCCCCTTGTTTGTAAGTCAAGCCACTTATTGCATTCTTAGAGGGTCTAAATTATCTAATACCCCAAAGCACCTATAACAGTGCCTGGCTCCTAGGAAAGGTTTGATTGCTGTTAGTTATTAGATACCATCGCAAGCAACATTCACATATTATTTCCAGTCCTCACCAAAATCCATTGTGTGAACCCATTGTAAAGAGAAAGAGACAGAGGTACATAAGCAAGCTTCCTTTTATAGCTAGGAACTTGATGTAAACTCTACATAGTTAACAATAAAGGAGCCTATTTATAAATAATCCACAAGTTGAGAAAGTCTCAAGAGAAGTTAGAATATATTCTGAACTGAATCAAAATGAAAATATAGCACAATTGATGGCAGAAATGGGAGGGAAACTTAAAGCTTTAAAGTCTTACATGACAACCGGACACTAGTGGCTTGTGACTGTAATCCTATTTACTCAGGAAGCTGAGATCTGAGGAGCATGGTTTGAAGCCAGGAAGGCCCGTGAGACTCATCTCCCAAGTAGCTACCAAAAAGCTGTAGGTGGAGCTGTGGCTCAAGTGGTAGAGTGTTAACTTTGAACACAAAAAGCTCAGAGACAAGGCCCAGGCCCTAAGTTCAAGCCCTAGCACCAGAACAAAAGAAAGTCTCATATGACAAAGAAAAAACATATCTCCAATCTATAGTACTAACCTCCAATTCAAAAATCTAACTATTCAAGAGGCAGAGATTGGGAGGATTAAACTTCCAGGCTAGTCCAGGCAAAAATTAGTAAGAACCCAATCTCAACAAATGAGCCAGATGAATGTAGTGACTCACAGCTACAATCCTAGCTATTCAGGTGGCAAGGGTAGAAGGATTTCTATGCAAAGCAGACCCAGGGCAAAAGGTGAGAGACCTTATATGAAAAGTATCTAAAAGAAAGTGGGCCCCTCTGTATGGTATTTTCACAATTAAAAAAAAAAAAGTGGGCCGAGGACATGACTCAAGTCGTAGAGTCTGTCTAGCAAGTGTTCAAACCCTAGTTGCAGGCCCCCAACCAACCAAAAATGATGACTTGAGATTAGAAAAGCCTCTGTTATGATTCTGTGTTGATCAGCTTTTCCCACAAAGTAGGGCAGTCAAATTGAACAAAAAAAATTGCATGATCCCCAGTTAAACTTGCACTTTAAATGAACAACAGAGGCCTTTCAGGCAAATGTTCCCAAGGCCAGCACAGCTCTGTGTTTTACTTGGCAGCCCTACCCTGTGGGTCTGGACAGGTGCTCAGTTTTCCTTTGTCTGTGGTCCTTACAGTCTTTTGAGTCTGAGTAAAGCCGAGTCGTTTTTGTTTCTTACCTTTACTCATTTGTCTACTCATTGAACCACTACCCTGAGGGATATCAAGCCTCTGAGCTACATAGGTAACCAATGAATCAGCCTGCTCCCCAAGTTCAGGTAGCTAAAATCCATATAATCACTGAGTCTAATTGGATTCCATTGGACTCTCAAAACATGGACCTGCTCATTAGTTTTCCCCTATATGAGATGAAATTCAGGTGTGGGTTAGTGGGTTCCTGGATGGGAAGATACTCTTCCAGTGGAATAGACACACGGCCAGCCAACCCCTTTGAGCCTGTCTCTCCTACCCACCCACACCGTGAGAAGCAGCCCTCCCAGGGCTGATTGATGATGGTGAGGAAGCAGCCAGAAGCTGGCCAAAGTACTGCTCCATTAAGGAATCACTCTTCAATGGACCCTTTGGCTCTGAGCCTGCCCATTAATCACTGAGAGGCAAAGTAGAGGGCTGGCTGGGCTAATGCACTTCACCTTCTCCCTGGCAAGTGTGGGTCCCCAGACAGCTTTAGGCCAGATGGGAACATAATGAGCCACCAGCCTTCCAGGGCTTCCTCAAGGCCATCTGAAGATGGCTGGTGGAAGACAGGGTGTGTTGTGTTGCTCATGGACAGATCACCCTGACTCCTAAATCTGCTCAGCTCCACTAGAAGCAGACCAGCACCAGGAGCCTCATTTCAGAAACCCCTTAGAGGTCAAGGGCCTTTCCTCTAGCGTGAGTGTCTTTGAGTCCTGCTCAGGCCCGGCCCACTCAGCAGGGAAGTGTGGAACAGGCAATCTTTTGAGATAAGCAAAACTGGTTAGATGGCCTGCCTTGACATGTAAATCCTCAGGTGTCACACTGGGAACAACCTGCACATGATAAGATGGTGGTCGTAGGGGAAATGAGATGCAAATAAACATATGGGTGGATGGATGCATGGACAGGCAGCTGGATGGATAGATGGGTAGATGGATGGATGGATGGATGAATAGATGGATAGATAATAGATATCATTTCATATGCACAGCTAAGAAGTCCAAATGTAAGAATGTCTTATATGTAGTGGCTTGTCTTTAACAATTGGTTAATACTTGGGAAAAAAAGTGGACCAGTTGGTTTGGTTTTAATTTCTAATTAATTTTTTTTCTATCCAGTCATTGTGAATCAAACAGCATGGTAAGGCACCCCATGGATATCTAAATTAAAAACGTAATGGCAACCTATATTTTAATGCCATGCAAACATTTGCAAGCATTTTCAGTTGGAAGGTCCTGACAATCATTATGATAGGAGAATGCATTCTGGTGCTTCACACTCATGTATTTACACTACACTTTTAAATAAGACTGACTTTTTTCTATACATCTGTTATTTCTAAATAACTTGCTGGCATTGTGTTACAATTAATTATCTCACTCTTTGATGCATAGTAGAAATAAGGCCTCCTAAGTCACATACCCCTCCCGTTTCTTAGCTAAATATTTGGGTAACTTTGTACGAAGCCTCAAGCCAGAAGGATGAGATATATCCTGGCTTTGTGAGTGATCTCTTAAGAGGAAATGATACACACTTTTGTCAACACTTCATTCATGCAGAAGGAAAGATACTCCTTGACTTAGCATAGGGTTATGAGTTGATGACCCACCATTGGCTGAAAACATTGTAAATGGAAAGTGCGTCAACTATGCCTCCAAACATCTCAGCTAAGCACCCTGTAGAGTATGTACCACTGCCCCCTGAGACTGACAGTGAGCTGGGGTGTCCTGCAGCTGCTGGGCACCTCTGGAGAGGCTCCTAAGCATATCATAGTCTGGGAAAAGATCCAAACTCAAAATTCCAAATATAGTGTCAAGTGTCAAGGATTTGGTTTCCCAAGCTGGCTTTGAACCTGTAGCTAGAACTACAGATGTAAGCCACTGGTGCCTGGCTCAACCCTAACTCTAACTGTGTGTGTGTGTGTGTGTGTGTGTGTCTGTGTGTCTGTGTGTCTATGTGTCTGTGTGTCTGTGTGTGTCTGTACATCTCCTGGGGCTTGAACTCAGGACCTGGGCTCTGTTCCTGAGCTTTTGCGCTCAAGGCTAGCACTCTACTACTTTAGCCATAGCTTCATTTCCAGTTTTTTGGTAGTTAATTGGAGATAAAAGTCTCTTGGATTTTCCTGTCTCTTGGATTTTCATGGCTTCAAACCATGATCCTCACATCTCAGCCTCCTGAATAATCAGGATTACAGATATGAGCCTCTGGTGCTTGGCTCAGCCACAATTTTTTTTTTAAATGAAGGAATTGAAGCTTAGAGTAGTTAAGGGACTTCCCCAGGCCACACAGCCAAAGTCTAACCTTAGATGAGTGAAGCCTAAGCTGCCTGCACTGAATTCTGTCTGTTCCCACTTCATTCCTCTGTTGCCTGTCCTGTAATTAGTAGCAAACACCTCATCCTGGGGGCCACATTGCTGGCCCCACTAACTACAAAGAGAGGAAGCTATTCTGGAATTGTAGCACTTGCAAGCTGAAAGTCCTGCCCAGCCCAAGTATCACCAGCCCTATGCCCAAGAAGGTGTGCATACCTAAAGCAATCTGGTCACTAGGAACCCAAGAGTTTTGAGCCCTTGGACTCACAGTGGCCGGTCTGGTCAGATTCACTCTCACTACTGGAGTGGTCACAGGCCAGAGCTTACAGGGGGAATGTATGCTTGAGGGCCAACTCTGAAGTGGCTGGTAAAGGAGATACAAGCTTCACTCACATTCCCTCCTGGATCCACAAGACAGGTAGCCCACCCACTTTCTGGCAGGGGCCACGTGCAGATAGAAGCCCACAAAGAAACCATTCAGCGTGACCTTTTCCAT